CGAACATAACAACTGACTTTTAATAAGCCGATGGCTGCTAAGTGATGTTGCAATCTCCTTCGCAGAACACGTTAGCCCATATTCTCACTCAGCATCAGCAGTGGGGCATGTACGTGGCTGCCACGTAAGAGGCACCGTGTGCTCATTCGCTGACGACGAGGTCCTCTGCACATTCAGCAGAAAGGTGTAAAATGGTTGCGCCAACTTGTGCGAATTTCTCTACAAGCGAACTATAAGCTATCGTTGTCTCATGGATTAAGTGTTGTAAATCTAGGTGTTGAGCAGGTAGGCCGCATTGGAAGTGTGTGTAAACCTTGACGCCGGCGATGTTGGCCATCGAACAGTCAACGAGGCAGAGGACGGCGGCGGAACATACTGTGAAAATGGATGCAAAGAGAGCGCCAAATGATGCTGCATATGAAGGTGAAGAGGAGAGGCAATGGAGAGAGGATGTAGACGTGTTGAGAGAAGGATTGCGGCAGAAGGAAAGGATGTGGATTTAAAAGGGTAGCACTTGTGTGAGCCAGTGCACTCAATGTCATGGAGACAGCAGAGCTGTAAACTACCATTTCTCCAGGCAATGCAGAAGCAAACTGAAGAGAGGTTATACTTCGACAGCTTGCAGTGCGTAAATCTTCCCAATTCAACTCAATTCTCCCTCACTGAGGCACTAATAATAGTACTGACTTCGGGACATTACAGTCTCCTCTTAGGGTTGAATCTGCGTTTAGCATTGGCAATGCTGTCTCAGCCAATAATGACGGTTTACTGACAATCCAAGTCGCCTAGTCAAGTAGCCACACAGGGCAGTTAATAAAGCCGCAAGACGTAATTAGTTGCCATTCTGAATAAGGTGCCGGTGTAAATATGGATGAGAAATTTGACCTTTCATTGGCACTGCTGCCCATCTAAATTGGTACCATGACGGCCGCTTTGGCCGTGGTTTTGCTTGTGCAATAACATTTTGTCTACTTGACAAGCTTCAGAGCGGCCAACGTCGGGGCAGACTTACAAGGCCTAAGGCGAGCAAGCTTCGCACTAAAATGTGAAAACAATTGAAGAAGCACTTCATTACTCTATCACCACCAATGAAGTCTTTGCGGTTTCGCGTGTTAGTGGAAGGACGGGTATGTCAAGACGTGTGTGTTATGAATTGTGAGCAAAGTATGGAAGTACACGTGAATGAAAATATTGCCGCACAACTTTCACAAATATGTATCGAAGGTATTCAACAAGCTTGTTCACTCTCCTCCACTTGCCATACCTCATTTCCAGCTTCTACGATTTGTCAAAATGATAAATAACCTGGTCACATTCCATCCCTTTCAATGGCATGGAAACGTAAAACTACTCCGCAACTGTTGTTCCACCTTCAAAGCATGCGAGGCCCCACTTCACTACCATTCTCTCCTCACTTGATAGTCTATTCAAGGTAAGATGCCTACGATGGACTTCATGCGACTTGACTATAAAATGTGTGGAAATCACGCGGCAGGGGAGAGAAAGGAAAGATCAATTCTACGTCTGATCCAAACTGCGGAGTTTGCACTCCCTCTCTCGTCTCCTTCCCGCAATGCAGTGCTAAATGCATCCTCTCCCCTTCTCTCTCTTCCCAGTAGTAAGAAACCGCAGGCCAAATCAAAGGTGTCAAATTGTACGCAGTTTCAACTGCTCCCGTACATCCACGTCCCGTTCAGGTCGTCGCCTCTTGCCTACGAGTCGCATTTCGCAATCCATGGTGTCACAGCTACAACCCTTTTGCACCATGTTGTCATTTGATTTACCTGGGATGAGTAGAAGGACGCTCGCATCTTCAACTGAGGAAAAATGAAACATAAAGTGGAGTCGGATGCTTTTGGCTGTAGCATTGAGGAACAATTCGAACAACTTCAGGTCGTCCAGTCTGACAGTGAAGGAGTTGCAATGGGGCATCAAACGAACTTGAGACTTCACAGAATTGCACTTACTCATCTCCGTCTCTTTCAATGGGCACTCCCATGCACCGCGCAGTGTGACTGCACACTCCTTGATGTTAGAGCTAATGCATTCCATTTAGTGGCGCGGTTAGACTCAATGCAACATCACCAACATAAAAGCAGGAGGATGATAACACAAAAAACGCTACCGCAACTGTTTAAAATTCACGGAAGGCGCTCAGTTAGGCAGGTTTGTTGTGTGAGTGTGCAGAGGAGAGGAAAGGATTGAGGTGTCATCGCTACTGCGAAAGATAAATCGTGTCATATTCAACGGTGCACTTTAGGATGGATTGGCTACCATTCGGTCGGACCTGATGGATATGAAGCAGATTTAGTTACACCTACCCATCACCGGCTCATTTGTGCATACAAGTCCATTTGCTGAAGAGCAGCAGCCATGTAGTAGAATTTGCCCTGATTAGCAAAACCGAAACATGCGTCTCTTGATCAGAACATGATTGGCGAATCAAAAACCTCACACCAAACCTTTGAAATGGTGCTTTTAAGAGTTAAACTAGGCGCCTGCTGTGACCGATGGGGCGTTTTCTACCTACTTCACTTATGATTAAACCAAGCTCCACTTGATGCGAACATGAAGAGAAGACAGGAC